TTGCAACCGCAGCATAGCAATCAACCATATGAGCTCACAGATCAGATCACTAATCAACCATGCATCTACATCAAATCCTAGCTGCAGCTCAGATCTAGCTAGAAGGAACAGAGAGAAAGGGGGATTGAACTCATAGAGGCCATGGCTGCAGCTCGAGGACGAGGGAGAACGGTCGTAGAAGATCACCGCCGGCCGGTGAAGGACCGCCGATGCCATGGACCGTTGCCCGATAAAGATGCGCTGCTTACCTGCTCGTCGGCGCTGATGCGCGTCGGCGGGAAAGCTCGAAGGGAGGAAGAATGGTGGCGGGAGTTGGGGCGGTGAGGGAGGGGCTAAATAGAGGCGGACTCGGGGAGGTGAGCCGAAATCCTCCCGTAGATTTTTTGGCGACGCGGGCAAGCTCGCGCCATCTCCCTGGTCGCACGAGGAGAGAAGCACGCCGCCCTCCCCTGCGTCGCCCAAGCCAGGCTCGCGAGCTACTGCCGATTCGGGCATTTCCACTGGGCCTGGCCTGGAGGTGCTTTAAGGTTCGTGCCATGCGGGCCGCACAATAAACGCAGGCAACCAATCGGGTCACTTTCTTCCCGCGCGGGCCAGGCTGGGCCATATGCAGGCAACCAAACACGCCCTAGTTGACGAGGATATGGCGTCCGAGCATTGCCAACTAGGCAAGGGGTGGGCACACCATCTCTGGATGGGCCAAATCAACCACTCGGGCCAAGGCTCGAACCGGTTGCCCCACCATCCAGTGGGCCATGACCATAGTTTTAAATAGCCGGCTATAGCTCCGCTATAGCCCGCTATATAACCTTTTTAGTAGGGTGCCGCTAAATGGTTCCATGTAAAAATAGCCCGCTATAGCCTGCTATAGTCTGCTATAGCTCCGCTATAACTGATTTTGTGGTCCGCCACTATTTGGCAATAGCCCGCTATTTAAAACATTGGCCATGACAAACAGATGTCCATCGGCATACGACATGGCCCGGTCCAATCCGGTGACACAAGCCCACTTTATTAGTCTGACCCGAGCCATGTAACCCTATCTCGACTAGCTATATACAATGACTGGGACATTTCTGGAGGGAGGGGGTCTAACACATTCGAGAGCCGTCAAGTGATAGGATTTTGCACCTACCCCTTCTTTCTTAGCAGCCACCGTGGCTAGGAACTTGTAATCCAATAAAGACCTCTCTCTAACGATCTTCCCTATCGACGGTGAGCACTCGAGCAATACAACCATCATATCAAAAATTAGGGTGTTACCTAACCAGGGAGGGACCGAACCTGGGTAAATTGCTTGTCTCCGCTGCCACAATCTCGATCTGCCACTCTCACCCCATCCGTAAAAATTTGTCATCACTTGATGGTATTCCCGGTCTCAAAACACCGACACTAGCCCCAGCCCCCATCACCCCATCTTCTCCCTTCTCTCATCCCCGTCGTTGGGAGGTGCCTCTAGGCAAAGCTGAAGCGACATTGGCGATGGTGGCCCTTTTTTCCTCAGAAGATGCGGAGTCGCGTGGGGCCACTAGGCATCGACAGAGGTGAGGGTTCAAGCTTGAGAACTAATTAGTGTGGAGCCGCCACCGAAGCATGGTGCCAGCTATCACAGAGGTGCATGTGTGCCGCATGGTGCCAATCACGGAGGTGCGGGTGAGTCGCATGATGCCAATTATCATGGAGGCATGGACACGGGCTGGATCGACTACACACTAGCATTGAATGCTCGGTGGTATGATGGTGTGGATACGGTGGTCAGCTACACGTGGAACCACAAACCTGCATGTTGACGAGTATCGACTGTGGCGGTTGGCCAGATGTGACTCCACCGCGGGTACATATCTAGACTCAAGCTGGTCGCGGCGTCCGGACGACAATATAGTGGCGTGGTTTGAAAGGTGTTACTGTGGCGCTCATGGATACCACCGATGAGACGGTGGTGCGACAGTGACAGGAAGCGATACGATGACATCTTTTCTTCATATGAAATCTCCTTTAGCTAGCTAGTTTTGTGTGAGAAGAGATAGATTATATTGTTGGCAATTGAGATCGAGGTTGTATTTCTCTCTTAGTAAGAACCATGATTTAGTCTTTTTCTTTGGCCAGATTAGGCACAATAGATACATGTGCTCACGTTGTATATTTATTGAATGTGTTGGCTTGAAGTTTTGCTTTGGGGTCTCTTTGTTTCCAGTGCCTTGGATTTGGTTAACCAGTCGGGTGAGCGATGATTCCTTCTCGAAGACATTGTCTTGGAATCTTATGCCATTTGTTACCTTACATGCTGCTTGACCATTGGACTATAGTCCATTGTCTTAGGTTTCCGACTTTTCGTAGAATGTATGGATTTTATCGCTAGTTGGTCTATTGTCCATGGTACCCTTTTTGGCCTTTAGGACGGCTTTGATTAGGGCCGTTTTTCTTAACAAATAATAATACTACTATTTGACAATGTTTGTGCATTAATTGACGCTGAGGCCTTTATTTGTTTTAAAATATAGCTTCATATTTCAAATTTCTAAAACACAAAAGCTGAAAAGGAGCGTGAGACAAACATGCCGTCCTGGAAGCGAACTAACCTTTGTTGCCATGTTTTCATTTAGCCTATTGATCTACATGCACCAGTCATAGTGGACGGTGGTGGAAGCACGATCAAGCATTCTCTCACGTCCGCTGGCGCAAAGACCTAGTACACCAGTGCTTGGTTTGGTTTGGTTTGGTCGAGTCCACCACGAAATCGGGTCAAGAGCTCGCTAGCCAACTCACCAACCTTCCTTCACGCCGGTCGCCATATACCACCGGGTCACACACACACACGCTTTTGTCTAATTTTCCTTGAACACGTACACCACCAGGTCCGTGCGTCCAGTCCACAACCGTACACATATTTATGAAAAAAGTCCAAAACAAACCTTAAACTTATAGACGAAAGCTAAATCAAACCCTGAACTTTCAATCCCTGAAATCAGCACACCGAACTTTTCGATCCCGGCCTATTTCGAACCTTGGAGGGTGTTTCACTGGTATTCGCTGACGTGGCAGGTGAAATTGGGCCAGCCCATTAGAGTAGTCACTCAGCTCTGGTTTTAATTGTTTTTTTGTTTTTTTATTTTATTTTCTTCGGCTTTCTTTTTTCCTTCGCTATATTTTTGTTTATTTCCTGATTTTTTCCGTATTGTTTGCTTCTTCCTTTTTTTGTTTCTTTATTGGTTTCAACTAAAAAAATGTACACCTGTCTATTTTTTCTCAGTACACAGAGTACATTTTTAATACACATATGAGAAAAAAATTTGGCACACTATTGACATATTTCAAATACATTATGTATATTTTTTAATTTCAACACTTATTTGAATACACAATGACGTTTTTCCACATACACGTTCAACATTTTCTTAAGACATTTTTTTATAAAACTATACAAACATTTTACATTGTTTAAAATGTTGCGCCCATTTTAAAAATTCAAAAGGTGTTTGGACTTTAAAATTTTGTTTTTCAAAAAAAATATGTTTCAAAAAGTATTCAATTTTTCAAAACTGATTCTGTTTGAAAAAGTTTTTCACCTTTTAAAGATTATTGAGAATTTTTCTCACTCATCTGTTCAGGTTCCAATAGTTGGTCCCGTTTTAAAAAAATCAAAAGTGTTCGGACTCTAATTGGTTTTTCAGGTTTCGAAATTTGTTCCCATTGTTTAAAAAATGTTTATGTTTCAAAAAGTGTTCATTTTTTTAAAATTGATTCTGTTTTAGAAAAGTTATTCATTTTTTAAAAATATACAGTGCTTTTTCACACATCTGTTCAGGTTTCAAAAGTTGCTCCCATTTTTTAAATTTTCAAAAAGTGTTCGCACTTTAACATATGGTTCAGGTTCAAAATTGTTTATTTTCAAACAGTGTACCCTTTTTCAAAATTGATTCTGTTTTCAAAATGATGTCCTTTTTAAAACAGTATTCAGAATTTTTAAAAAGTAGTCGCACTTTAGTTATTTTCCAGAGATTTCACAAATTGTTTACATTTTCCATATTTGTTTGCCCTTAGAAATGTTTCTTCTAATCTCGACGTTACAGTTTGTTGTTAAATATTTCGGGCGTCTCAATATAACAATGACTGCCATCTGTTGTAGCGGCTTGCGTGAGCGTTCAGTAGTGCCAGGTCTCAAGTTCGATCCCTCTGTGTTGTCTATTTTTGCGTCGTGCGTTATGAAGAAAGAACTTGCTTTGCACGTGGTGGCCCGGTCCAATAACAGTTGTCGGTCTTTTTACATCACGTATTGTGAAAAAAAAATAGACCGAAAAAACGGAAAATAAAAAGAAAATCTCGCTTTGCGCCTGTTGGGCCGGCCCAGTCGCGTTCGCAATGAACAGTCCCGGTATTAAACCTGCCACATCCATAATCCCTGTTTGGGAACGCACTCAAGGTTCAAAATAGACCGGGATCGTCAAGTTTGGTGTGCTCATTTCAGGAATGGAAAGTTCAGGGGCCGATTTATCTCTCGTCTACAAATTTAAGATTTATTTTGGACTTTTTCCCATATTTATCGAAATCAAATCAAAATTCAGTCGCAAAATGAAAATCAACCAGGGAGAACCCGACAACGGGAAGAGTAGCAGGCGAGCGGATGCACCAGAGAGGAGACGAAAGCGACGTGCTAGGAAAAGAGGAGAGAGGCTGCGCGGAATTCCGACGCCAACCCCAACCGAGAATACGGTCTGGTCGCCGGTGCGGTGTGACGAGACGACCGACGTCGACCCGCCCATGTTTCCACGCCGCGAAGCTCCCCCGAAACCCGCTGAAAACCACCCGCGCGCGCGCACGACAATTCCATCACTCTCACGAGGCACGAACCGGCGACCGCTCGGTCGGTCCGGCGTTTCCACCACGCCTCCCTGCTTCCGGGAACCTTCCTCGCTCCCGGCTTTCTTCCCGAGTCCCGGCCGTCGTCCCCCTTCCAACTTCTTTCCCGCCTTCTCGCGAGTCTACCAGAGACCCGGCTATATATGCCAAACCTTGGTGCTCTGCAAATAGCATCCAGCACGCAGCGACCAGCGAGAATTCTCATCTCAGAGGCAAGCAAGAAGCACCAAGGCAACAAGAGCAGAGGAAGCAGACAGAGAAAGGCACAGACAGAGGACATAGACATGGACATGGCAGCATCTTCCTCGGCGCCGGGCGCGTCCTACTTCATCTTCAACTTCTCCGTGGCGCCGGCCGTGGTGGTCATCTCCATCAACGTCATCCTCGTCTGGCTCTCCGCCCTCGTCAAGTCCTCCTCCTCATCCTCTTCTTCGTCCTCCGCCAGCCGCCGCTCGGCCGCCCCCGCTCCGGAGCAGGAGCCAGCGCAGCCAGCGCCGGCAAGTGGCGCCTCCGAGGTCGACCTGGACGTGGTTCTCGGGGTGATGGGCGCGGGCAGCGCTGCCTCGATCGGGTTCGAGGAGGCGGCCATCCTGTTCGAGGATGACGAGGCCACCGTGGAGGAGGCCGCGGCGGCGTTCCGCGTCTTCGACCGCAACGGCGACGGGTTCGTTGACGCCGGAGAGCTCCGGAGCGTGCTGAGATCGCTCGGGTTCACCGCCGGCGTCGCGGCCGCGGAATGCCAGCGCATGATCGACGCCTATGACGAGAACAAGGACGGCCGGATGGACTTCCAGGAGTTCCTCAACTTCATGGAGAGGAGCAGCTCGTGAAGTGGCCGCCGGCGTCCGACGACCGATGATTTGCTCGATTCATTTGTTCGTTCGTTCTGCTTACTTGTCCTTTTTCCGGCCCGAATGGAGCCGAATGGTGCACCGTATGTATTTAATCCGATTCTTTACACAATACATATGCTTTTTAGAGCATCTCCAACGGACCCCGAACGCGGCGCGCGCAAAAAACAGCTTTAGCGCGTGCCCATCGCCTGGTTTGGCGCGGCGCACTGTGCCCGCTCTAGCAGCCGCGCTGAAATGCTGCTGCGCGCGCTGCTCCAGCAGCGCGCAAAAAATGCAGCGCGTGCGCTCGTTCTACAAACTAGAAATGTAGGCATTGAAAGCAGAAATTTTAAAAAAACTAGATAGATTGCATAGATTTTAACGATACAAAGGTATTTTACATCCGAAACATAGATTGCATAAATAAAAATGACAAACGATAAAAAAAATATAAATTGCATTAAAAAAACTACTCTAAGTCGCTATCATCATCACCACTATCATCCTCGGCGTCGTCCGAGGTAGTTAGTCAGATGTCCAGCCACCGCTCATCGTTCGGCGTGAAGAACGACTGCCCACCTGCTGCAACGAGGTCGGAATGCGCATTCGCCAACGCCTTCCGCCGACGCTTGTACAACCGCATCACGCGGCGCCTTCGTGTGTCCTACTCGCGGCGCCTTGCCCAGTAGGCCTGCTCGTAGGCGACGTCCTCCGGGTGGCGCTGGCGCCACTCCGCCATGACCCGCTCGTCCTCCTGGGCGATGAGGAGGCGGCGTTGCCGCTCGGCGTGCTCCGCACGGTCTTCCGTCGTGTTCAGACGAGGCAGAGGGACGAAGTTGAGCGCTTGCTGGAGCGTGTACACATCTTGGAAGTTTATCTGGCCGCGCGGCCGGGCTAGGCGCCACGCCGCCGCGTCGTACGCGCGGGCGGCCTTGCGCGCCATCCTGTATGTGCCGAGGCCGAGTCGGAGTTCACCGGAGCGTACGCGGAGTAGTTGCCGTTGGGGCGCAGACGGACGCCGCGGTAGCCGGACGCTCCTCGGCGGCGCGTCGGTGGCGGGGCGCTGGAGCGGCGCGTGGCGAGAGGGAGAGGAAGAGGAGAAGAGGAAGCGTGGAGAAGGCGCATGGCGCGCGCAACACTTTTATAGGCGCGCGCGAAGCGGCGCGTCAAATCTTGCGCGCGAGCTGGCGCCTTTTCGCACGCGCGCAAACGGTTTCCGCGGGCGCTTGTTTCCCCGCTGGAGCGTGGCAAACCGCCCCACACGCGCGCATCGTTTGGGGCGGCCATTGAAGATGCTCTTAGGCATTGTATGATGGGACCATGTATTAGCCATGGAGCTAAAGAATATTTTCACCAAATCAGTTTTCTTTGACGAATCATATCTCGGCATGGTTCTACCACTGCATTCAACTTTTGCATTACATCAACTTTAATGACACGGCCCTCGCAAAAGAAAAAAAAACTTTAATGACACAGAGGCCGGGCCGCTTCGTCATTTCAGCAACTAATTTCTTGACCCATGCCATATGTTCTCATCGTACTATCACGATGTGAATAATTGTTGCTTGTAACAGGAATATGTCAACAGTCAACTGCAAATAATGTATCACCACATACCATGGACGCTATCTAGTAGTACATGGCTAGAAGCCTAGAACCATCATGTTCAATTCTGTTTTGGCTCGCATGTTTAATTCTATTTTGAGTGTGGATAGGCCTTAGTCGATTAAGATTTAATTAAATCTTAGTTAAATGACATAATAACATATATGAAAAGATAAATTAAAAACCTTTTGCACGAATCTTCACACAAGATCGAACGAATATAGCATCGACAGAGACATAACCAAGTCTCAGTCGACTGAGACTTAGCAAAACTATTCTGTTTTGGCTCGCTTGTCGTCTTTTGACATGTCTATGTTCGTGATGAATAACTCTTGTGGAAAAAGGGGATAAACATAGAAGAAAATTTACATGGAATAAGAATCACATGGTTCGATGCACGAGGGTGTGTATAGATTCTCGTGGCAGTATTGGCACAGGATTCCTTTATCATGCCTCAGAATTTTATTTTAAAAATCGGACCCGATTGCAAATTTCCTGGCAGAAGTCCGCCCGTCAGACGGAGGAGCCGAAATGGATGGGCCAATTTTGAACGCAGTAGGCCCACTTCCACCTCGTAGCCGGGCTCAGTCAGGTCAGTCCATTGCTGTGGCCTTGTAGGATTCCCTTCCGCCTGGTCTTCGCACCTGAGACGGGGGAGATGCGGAGGCCGTCGGCTTCGTCGCCTCCGGCGAGGGGCCCGGCGTTGGCCGCCGCAGCCGCTGTCGTGCTCCTCCCGGCTATTTTCCCCGCGCTGTTCTCCCCGCTCGGCCGCGCCTTCCCTTCCCTATTCTCGGTGCGCCCCCTATAGTCCCATCCTCCTCTCCAGGCGGTTCGATTTGAGCCGGTGTAGCGTCGTATTGGCGATCTTCTGCTTTTCTAGCTGCTTCCTACGCCCCTCCTTGCTAGTTTGCCACTTTGGCGAGTCCGATTATTTGGGGTGCGCGAAAATTGGATATAATCTAGACGGATTGGTACTGTTGGGGGAGGAATGTATGTGGAAGGTGAAATGATGTGGTGAATTCATGACTCCCTTTCCTGTTGAATTGGAAGTGCGAAATTACATTTGTTTATTTGGCGTATGTATGGCGATGCAGAGTTACCTGTAAATAAGCAAAGTGTGCAACCTGTAAATAAGCAAAGTGTGCAAGATCTGGATTCTTTTGATGGATAGCATCATGCCAGTTGCATAGAATATTTTGGTTTGGACAGTGGTCTACAATATGTGATTACTAGATTTTATATGCAATTTGTGGCAGTGTGGGACTGTACTCAGCTACCATGAGTCCATGACAGTATTGGGAATAACATATGTACTGGATTAGTACTATGGCTATGAAGATAGATTGGCAACTCAAGTGGACCTTAGTAAATATTTCTGCAAACTGCAATATTATATTTTTAAGATTAATCATGTGGACAATGTGTATGACTGTGTATTGCAGGAGTGGAATGCCCCTAAGCCAATGCACGAGTCTCTTTTGAATGAGTCTTTGCGATGGACAATAGTGAGTATTCATAACTCAGATAAAAACTGGAAATAGATATGTTGAAGTATATTTATAACTTGCTTTCTGTACAGCCAGATGAACAAAAGAGAGATCTCTGGACACCCTTGCCTGATCAGGGGTGGAAACCATGCATAAGACCATCGATTACTCGTGGTAACACTCTGAGATAACATTGTTATGTAATGATATGCCTCCAGCTGCGACAGATCACTAAGCATTTGGTTATATAAAGTGTAGGATTACCTTCCGAACCTAGTGGGTACATACAAGTATTTCTTGATGGTGGCCTGAACCAGCAAAGAATGGGGGTAACACACTTTTCATGTACCAGATTCATGATGTTAGATTTAAGACAACTGCTTGGTTGAGATTTTAGATCATCTGGCTCTTACTTTTTGTTCTCTAGATATGTGACGCTGTTGCGGTTGCTAAGATTCTGAATGCTACTCTTGTGATCCCACATCTTGAAGTAAACCCTGTTTGGAAAGACTCAAGGTGCTTTTGAAGTTTCAGAGTACTACTGTATCTTGTTAGTTTTTATATTCTCCTGTTAAATTGGAAGTGAAAGTTTTAGTTGTGCTGCAGCTCATTCGGAGATATTTTCAATGTGGATCACTTTATCAACACCCTAAAAGGCGAGGTTTCAATAGTGAGAACTCCACCAAAAGAATATTCGTGGAGCACAAGAGAGTTCTATGGCACAGGAATACGTGCTACAAGAATAAAAACTGCACCTGTTCACGCCTCAGCTGATTGGTATATAGAGAATGTCAGTCCTATCCTGCAAAGGTTTGTGATTTCTTTGGTCATATAGTCACTTCTCTAGACCCCTTGAGTAAGTGAAGATCTGCAGTACCCTTTGTACTGACACATGTTGCAAAACTAAACTACTACTCTCTCCATTCACAAATATAAGATGTTCTAACTTTTTTCTGAATCAGACGTATGTACACACGTTTTAGTGTGTTTGTTTACTCATTGCAGTCCGTATCTAGTCCATATTTAAATATCCAAAAAATCTTGTATTTGTGAACAGTGGGAGCATTTGACATATATTGCGTGGCATAATAATGCTAAGAAACTGCAGTTCATGTTTAGCCCAGGTTGATGACCACTGAACAGGCTTTATCGCATTAGCATTATAGTTTGTGGTCTAACTTCAATAGTTGGTTACTTTGTGAGGGGAATCCTTCACCGAGAATCTCATGTACGTGTTGCTTCCCTTGTCAGCTATGGCATTGCAGCCATTGCCCCCTTTTCTCACCGCCTTGCATTTGATGATTTGCCTGTGGACATTCAACGTCTGCGCTGTAAAGTTAACTTTGAAGCCCTGGTTTTTGTGCCTTACATTATCTCACTGGGGAGGACCCTTGAGAAGCGCTTGAGATCTCCAGTCCAGGGGCATTCCACTGAATTTGCTCAACAAGTTGTAGAAGAAAACACAGATCAGGATGGGAAGTACGCAGTTTTACATCTCCGCTTCGATAAGGTAAATGGAAGGGCTTCTGCAATATTTGGAAGTCATATGTTTAATTTTTTGTTCTCTTCAGGGAATTGCCACTCTGAAACATTTCAAGCTGACCTACATTTTTCAGGACATGGCTGCACATTCTGCCTGTGACTTTGGCGGTGGTAGAGCTGAAAAATTAGCTCTGGCTAAGTACAGGCAAGTTATCTGGCAAGGGAGGGTATTAAATTCACAGTTAAGTGATGAGGAGCTTCGAAACACAGGACGCTGCCCGTTGACTCCAGAAGAGATTGGGTTGATACTAGTAGCGCTTGGCTTTGACAGCACAACTCGATTTTATCTTGCCTCTCACAAGGTTTGACTCTCTGTGCGCTTACTTATTCTCCATAGTGGAAGTAGAAAGTTCTAACATACATCACCTATTAAGGTATATGGAGGGGAAGCTAGGATCTCTAGCCTGCGCAAACTTTTCCCGCTGATGGAAGACAAGAGGAGCCTTGCATCGGCAGATGAACTTGCTAATGTTGAAGGGAAGGCTTCTGTGCTAGCAGCTCTTGACTACCATATCAGCATGCACAGCGATGTTTTCATCTCTGCTTCTCCTGGCAATATGCATAATGCACTGGTAAATCCTGTTGTCTTCTGCTGTATTCGCGAGATTTCTCCTCTTTCTTTATTGGTCCTGACTAGATGATGGTTGATTCAGCTGGCCCACCGGGCCTACAGGAATTTGAAGACGATAAGGCCAAACATGACATTGCTTGGCCACATATTTGTGAACAAGAGCATGGAGTGGTCAGAGTTTCAGCAGGCTGTACAGGCAGGCCACAAAGGTAGATACGGGCAGATCCGGCTGAGGAAGCCGAAGCAGTCTATCTACACTTATCCTGCCCCAGATTGTATGTGCCAAGGGTAGATTGCCAAGTTTCTGCAGTGCACCAACAAAAGAAATGTGCTGAGTTACTTGCAGCTACTAATTAGGAAAAGCTCATGTGGATACATATGTTAGTTCTGAATTTCCAGTTGAATCAGTTGGCTGCCTCTTCCAATAGGATCTTAAATTTTAACCTAAATTTACCCGTCCTGTCATTGGCCCTTGAAGGACACTAATCTTGTGCCGATGCACATTCCACACGACGAAGTTATAGTTTTGTGACCGATGTTGTATATCTGTGACTTGATATACTGGATCCTTTTCTTTTTCTTCTTCTTTGATTCCGCTGTTCTACATCTGCGAGTCCGGTGTTTTATGAAATTATGCTCTCATTTACTATTATTACTACCATCACATCGAGTTCAGCACTAGTGCTTCAAACTATATTTTGCCATGTTTAAAATAACACGGGTGATATCACAGTGAGTTCGAGACTAATGCTTCAAACTAGTAGTATGTTTTGCCATGTTTAAAATAACACGCATGGGTGATATTACAAGTACAGCCTCCATTAGAAGCCATGGGCGAATCCACAAGAACAAAGTTTCACCACCGGAGCTTTAAGATTACAACACATTTTTGCACTGTCCACCTACTCCTCCACACTTTGTACATCCTCAGCACCCCAAAATAACAATTCAGACCGCCTGAAACCTCCCCGGTCGGTGAAATCGACGGATTTATTGGCCGGAGATGGTCTGGATGATGGTGTTGTGCCATGGGTCGGCCAGGTGCTGCTGCAGGTTCTCGAACGGCCCCTTCCCGGTCACGTTGTGCTGCACCAGGAACCCCAGGAACGCCAGCATCGCCAGTCTCCCTGAACGAATGGAAAAACATCCAAAGATTAACAGGAGCCGTCCGATTAGAAATTAACGACGGTGAAGCAAGCAGAGGAGCGATGGACGTACCGTTGGCGAGCTCCTTCTCCTTGTTCTCGAGGGTGGGGGCGAAGTTGAGGGGGTTGAAGACGCTGCCGGGGTAGCCGCACTCGTGGGGCGGGAGGCTGTAGCTCTTGAAGATGGGGTCCTGGTTGACGGAGCCCGGGTTCTTGATGTCCTGCCACCGCCGGATCTCCACGTAGTGGAAGAGGATGAACTCGATGACGAAGAGCGTGGAGGAGGAGGCGAAGTAGGTCTCCTTGCCGGCGTCGTACCACTCGGGCGCGTTCAGCAGCCCCGCCTTGGTCAGCACCTCCGGGATCAGCATCCCCGCCACCCCCAGCATCGCCCACCGCCCGTTCACCAGCTCCGCCTGCACGAACCACCGCAGGTCCTCCGGGTCCTCCGCCAGCGCCAGCGGGTCGAATCCATTGTCACCCGCCAAACTACAGAAGCAGTTACGTATCATCCATTAGCACGGTCGTAGAGAAATGCAACACAGCTGCATGCGCATGACGGGAATGATGCTTCGTGTGGCCTGTGCTGACCTGCCGTCGAGGTAGGCAGGGGAGGGGAGGCCGGGGAGCCACGACCCCTTGGCCTGGACGGCGACGTCGCGGCGTGTGGACTTGGCGAGGCCGACGCGGCCGGAGTCGCCCAGGAACCGGGGGCTCGACGCTGACGCCGCCGGCCGGAGAGCGGCCACGGGAGCGCGGGCACTGACCGACGACATCTTGACTACGGCGCACTGCGGCAGGAGAGTGAGTGCGCGTCGGTGTGTGGTGGTTCTGCCTCTCCGCACCTGCGCTTGGCCCTTTGTATTGAGCTGCGCTTCGGTGATTTGTGGGTGTGGTCAGCTGGGGCCCGGAGGTCCAGATGGACGGCATATGTTGGCGCCACTGCGTCGTCTGACGGCTGCGATTCGTTTGCGTTTGGAGACTGGATAGATGCACCAGTGGGAGACCGGGAGGCGTATGTGCGTTATCTGGATCATGGATAATGCGGAATCAAAAGGAGGACCGCTATTGGTCGGAGAAACGCACGTTCGGTTGACCTGGCTGCCACGTCGATCGGTCGATCCGTCATGCTGTACAACTGTACATGGTGCCATGGCGGGTTGGTCTGTTTGCTTAAACTTTCAACCACTTCCACACGAAATAGGGAAAAAAATCCTATGAGACAGGAAAAAAAAATCCTATGAGACCAGATCCTGAACCTGAACAAAATACAAAGGTTGAACCGATACAAGGTGATGGGAAGAACCCCATACAAGCCAGTCGCGGCGAGGATGCCACCAACCTGCAGCCCAACAAGAAAATAGGAATCGCCACACTAACATGAGGCGACCTAGACTACCAAACCAAAACCGCACTGCCTAGGGCAACCACATGACACCGACACGCCGAACACAACAAGATATCGTAAGCGCATGTCCTCTCGCTCCGGACCATGGAGTTCCGATCCTGCCAACGGATAGTGAGGACCGATGACTGTGACTGCGAGGATGCATGTAAATGAGAGGAGACCAACTAATCCATTCCACCCAAAACCGAAGAAGCTTCACGCCAGGATCAAAGCAAGCATGAAGGCGCCAACGTGCTGTAACCAGATGATACCTGAGTTCCCCGACGATGCACCCAAGAGGGTAATGACGCAGAGCGCCACCACCATCGATCCCGATACGACGGGCTAGGGTTCTCACCAGGAACCCCTGAAACGGGGAAGAGATACATAATGACGCCCCCAAGAGGCATGTGACACCCGCATGCATCACTATGGTCGCCTAGTCGGCACCGAAGCGCGGAGCTTTCGCTCGGATCCTCACCATAGCCACCTAAGGTACCAAATGGACCAGCACGAGACCTCTAGATCCGGACCACGGAGCCACCACCAGAGGAGCCAGGACGACGCCAGGACTACCCACCACTGCTCCCCTTCCTACCCACATAGCCAATAGGAGGGGCCGTCATGCTAACACGCAACTCAGTGTAGAGCCACGCGCAAAATCTCACCATGTAGGACCGTCGCCCCGACTTCCAGAAGAGTCAAATCACCAAGCCCAGTCACACCTACCCGGAGTGCGAACTTTGACTCGCCTCGGGCCCCGTACAGATCCACCCGAGCGCGAACCCCGACTCACAACCATGCTGTCGGCCTAGAGCCAGGAGAAGGAGGATCGTTGCCACTGATAACCCACAAGTATAGGGGATCGCAATAGTTTTCGAGGGTAGAGTATTCAACCCAAATTTATTGATTCGATACAAGGGGAGCCAAGGAATATTCTCAAGTATTAGCAACTGAGTTGTCAATTCAACCACACCTGAAAGACTTAATATCTACAGCAAAGTATTTAGTAGCAAAGTAGTATGGAAGTAACGGTAACGGTGATAAAAGTAACAGTAGCAGTTTTGTAGCAACTGTAACTGTGGCAATGATAAAGTAACGTAGCAAAGATCAATATGTGAAAAGCTCATAAGCAATGAAGAAAATATTCCCTAGAGGCAATAATAAAGTTGTTATTTATATTTCCTTATGTCATGATGAATGTTTATTATTCATGCTAGAATTGTATTAACCGGAAACTTAGTACATGTGTGAATACATAGACAAAACAGAGTGTCCCTAGTATGCCTCTACTTGACTAGCTCGTTGATCAAAGATGGTTATGTTTCCTGACCATAGACATGTGTTGTCATTTGATGAACAGGATCACATCATTAGAGAATGATGTGATGGACAAGACCCATCCTTTAGCTTAGCATAATGATCGTTTAGTTTTATTGCTATTGCTTTCTTCATCACTTATAAATGTTCCTCTAACTATGAGATTATGCAACTCCCGAATATTGGAGGAACACCTTGTGTGCTATCAAACATCACAACGTAACTGGGTGATTATAAAGATGCTCTACAGGTGTCTCCGAAGGTGTTTGTTGGGTTGGCATAGATCAAGATTAGGATTTGTCACTCCGTGTATCGGAGAGGTATCTCTGGGCCCTCTCGGTAATGCACATCACAATAAGCCTTGCAAGCAATGTGATTAATGAGTTAGTTACGGGATGATGCATTACAGAACGAGTAAAGAGACTTGCCGGTAACGAGATTGAACTAGGTATGATGATACCTATGACCGAATCTCGGGCAAGTAACATGCCGATGACAAAGGGAATGACTTATGTTGTTATGCGGTTTGACCGATAAAGATCTTCATAGAATATGTAGGATCCAATTGAGCATCCAGGTTCCGCTATTGGTTTTTGACCGGAGATGTGTATCGGTCATGTCTACATAGTTCTCGAACCCGTAGGGTCCACACGCTTAACGTTCGATGACGATTTGTATTATGAGTTGTGTGTTTTCATGACCGAAGTTTGTTCGGAGTCCCGGATGAGATCACGGACATGACGAGGAGACTCGAAATGGACGAGAGGTAAAGATTCATATATTGGAAGGTTATATTCGGACATCGGAATGGTTCCGAGTGATTAGGGTATTTTATTGGAGTACCGAGGGGTTACTAGAACCCCCCGGGGGAAATATGGGCCTTAGTGGAGAGAGAGGAGGGCCGCGAGGGGTGGCCGCGCCCCCCTCCCCCATGGTAGTCCAAATTGGACTAGGGGAAGGGGGCGGTGCCCCCCTTTCCCTCTCCCTCTCCCTCACCTTCCTTTTCCCTCCGATGGAAAAAAGGAAAAGGAGGGGGGGATTTTTTTTCAATAATACATTTTTTATATTAATTTTCAGAAATATTACGTCGTAATTATATTTTTTAAAAATATTATCCAATCGGCCTACTGCTGACTGATTGGATCCAGTCGGCCTACTGCTGGCCGATTGGCCCCCAGTCGGCCCACTGCCGGCCGATTGGATCTAGTCGGCCCACTGCTGGCCGATTGGCCCCAGTCGGCCCACTACTGGCCGAATGGCACCCAATCTACTTTTTATAGGCCGACAGGTGCATGCACCCATCTATCTGTTGAATAGGTATTTAAAAAATGTTGAAGAAGTATTTGAAAAAAAATTGATCATGCATATAAAAATGTTAGTTAAGCATTTGAAAAAAATGTTGCACAGGTATTTGAAAAATGTCGAACAAATATTTGAAAACTGTTGAATAGGTATTTGAAAAATGTTGAAGAAGTATTTTAAAAAATGTTGATCATGTATATATAAAAATGTTAATCAAGCATTTGCAACAAATGTTGAAGACTTATTTGATAAAAATATTGAACAAGTATTTGAAAAAAATATTGAACAAGTATTTCAAAAAATATTGATCATGTAAATAAAAATGTTGAACAAGTATTTGTAAATTTTTTTATCATGTATATAAAAATGTTGAACAAGTATTTGTAAATTTTTTTATCATGTATATAAAAATGTTGAACAAGTATTTGAAAAAAATTGAACAAGTATTTTAAAAAAATTGAACAAGTATTTGAAAAAATAATATAGAAAAAAAAGAAATAAATAATGGAGAAGACCGGCTTAGTCGCCTCTAGTTGGTCGCGGTCCCTTTTCTAACCAGTAACTGGAAACTAATGGGGTGGTTAGCTGCACTGGTGATTGCCATGGAGACTAGGCATCGATCCCCAATGCAGCTAATAACTACCCCACCAGCTTCCAGATGTTAAACATTTTTTCAAATACTTGTTCAATTTTTTTAAAATACTTGTTCAACATTTTTTGCAAATGCTTGATTAACATTTTTATATACATGATCAACATTTTTTTTAAATGCTTCTTTAATATTTTTCAAATACATATTCAATGGTTTTCAAATATTTGTTCAACATCTTTAAAATACTTGTTCAATATTTTTTTAAATGCTTGATTAACATTTTTATATGCATGATCAACATTTTTTCAAATACTTCTTCAACATTATTCAAATACCTATTCAACAGATAAATGGGTGCATGCACTTGTCGGCCTAGAGGAATCACACTGGGTGCCAATCAGCTAGCAGTGGGCCGACTGGGGCCAATCGGCCAGTAGTGGGCCAACTAGATCCAATCTGTCAGCAGTAGGCCGATTGGGTAATATTTTTAAAATATATAATTACGGTGTAATATTTCTAAAATTTAATAAAAAAATGTATTATTTAAAAAAAATAGCCAAATCCTACTTGGACTAGGAGTCCAAGTAGGACTCCCCCCATGGCATGCCCCTACGTGGGCAGGGTGCACCCCAAAGGCACATCAATTGTTCTCTTAGCCGTGTGCGATGGCCCCCTCCACAGTTTACACCTCCGGTCATAGCGTCGTAGTGCTTAGCCGAAGCCCTGCGTGGATCACATCACCAACACCGTCGCCACGCCGTCGTGCTGACGGAACTCTCCCTCGTCCCTCTACTAGATGGAGAGTTCGAGGGACGTCATCGAGCTAAACGTGTGCTGAACATGGAGGTGCCGTACGTTCGGTACTTGGATTGGTTGGATCATGAAGACCTTCGACTACATCAACCGCGTTAACATAATGCTTTTTCTTTCGGTCTATGAGGGTCATGGACACACTCTCCCCCTCTCGTTGCTATGCATATCCTAGATAGATCTTGCATGATCGTAGGAATTTTTTTGAAATTGCATGTTACGTTCCCCAACAGTGGTATCCGAGCCAGGTCTATGTGTAGGTGAGATGCACAAGTAGAACACAAAGAGTTGTGGGCGATAATAGTCATACTGCTTACCACCAACGTCTTACTTTGATTCGGTGGTATTGTTGGATGAAGCGGTCC